ACAACGACCTCGCCCTGCTCAGTGCGAGGGCGTTTGCCCAAGGCCGACTCGTGGCCCAAGGAAAATATAAAATTTCATACTACATTTCTATTCGTCGGCTCTCGTTTGATTTTGTGCAATCTGGTAAACATTTTATGTGCAACCCGTATAACCATAATGTGCACTCGCGATACATAAAAAATATATATGGCAAAATATAATTATTTTTTCATAAAAAAGTATAAATAGAAAAATATCGGTAATATTTTTCATATAGTTCGGCATGTTCGATTATGTTGTTTATCTTTTAGCGCCTGAAAGGGGACTTTTCCGCCCATTTGTGAAGAGGATCATGCAGCAACCATCCCAAACCTGTGTATGCGATTAAATCCCACCATGAACCAACTAATATTTTTCGATGATGAATATACTTATTGTAATTTTGAAGGGTTCAGCTTGTTGTTTTATAAGATGCATCATGTCGTGTTATAAGGTGCAATGTATTATTTCATAAAGTGCAATGTATTGATATATAACGTGCAACACTGAAATTTTGGTATGTTAGCATGCTCGTGTATTTATTGTTTTTGTAGATCGATGATGCGATAGATATTAAAGTATTATGTAAATCCGTTTATTAGATTTATATTGCGTAATTTTTTGGTGTGAGTTGTTGACATTAATTGAGGAGCGTGATGATAAAGTGCAATGTGTTGTTTATAATGTGCAACGTGTTGTCTTATAAATGGAAACATCCTTCGTTATATAAAGTGTGTTAATTCTTACCTATCTAGATGAATTATGTGTATCCGAAACTAATTTTAATAGATATAATTACACACCTAATTAACCTAAATAATTAAAATATTTTTTTATTTATTATTTTTCTTATATAAAGTATTTATTATTATAAATTATTTATATTATAATTAAAAATAAATTGTTTTCATTATATATATAAATATAAATATTCAAATAAAATATAAAAATATTTTTTTATGGTTCGGTCGGTTCTATTATTATTATTTTTTTTTCTTGTAAATAAAGCCGAACTCGGAACGTAGTGACCTAAATTTTAATATTTTTGCAAAAATGCGCATTGTTATTATAATGTGCATTCTCTAACACATGAATGTGCATATGTTCTAACATTATTGTCCAATTTGACAGTGACTAATGTGCATCATGTGTCATACTATTTCGCGTTATGCCCGCGCGAGAACTTTTTTTTTTTTTTTTTTTGTGCAAATGCATATAAAACTGAAGCTGAATTATTTGGTCTGGTTAAAATTAATATGAATATTTGAAATAATTTATTATTTATATATGATAACGAATTTAATATTTAATATGTTTATTTAATTATTTATATTAAAAAACTAAATATATATATATATATATATATGTGTGTGTGTGTAAATAAAATATATAGAAAATAATATTTTTATAAATTTTTTAGTTCATTCCATTTCGATTGGTATGGTACAATATATGGATAATTATTGTGCATTATATATAAACTATTGTCCTATCACATGTCATTTAGGTTTAATGTGATTAAATATAATATATTGTGCATTTTTGTTTTTCAATTAATATTTA